CCGGCGAGGTGGGGGATGGGCTCGAAGAGGAGTGCTGAGGCATCCCTTTTTCTGCCGCTATGGAAGAGTACTGCTCATCGGCACATCACTTTCCTCCGCATCTTGCTCATCAAGGTTGTGATGGTGTAGGAGCACTAGCACTGGTTTCCGGCGCGTTTCTGCTTGGAATCTCCCGAACAGTGGGGTCACAACTGATCAAGATTGGTTTGGCAGGGGAAGACTCATCGCAGAAGGCTCAGGTGGTGATGGCTCTGCAAGACCCTTCAGACACTGCGCAGCCCAGCAATATCTGTCTCGTTGAAAACTACTCACCGCGCGGAGTGCGAAAGTGCGCTGCCCAACAATTTCGCAGTTGGCACAAAAACACAAGACATGATGGCCATAGAGGCAAGCTGGTTCCACTACACCACAAAGGGTAATAGCCAACAAGCGGGAAGGCTAATTGAAATGATGGAAGAGCTGTATCAATTTATGGACTCTGGAGAATGGGATGGTGCAGTGGGATTCTAGAGCGTTGATGCCAAGCAGAGCTCACGACATCACAAGGGAGAGTGCGAAATGTGAAGAAACGTACTCGACCCGACCAGGTGTAGATGTCAAACGACACTGCCAAAATGAAGATGTGTACACAAACGCAGACCGCCTTAGTGCTCAAAGATCCGCATTCTTTTTGTAAATTCGATCGATTTGGGGTCTGTGACTGCTAGCTGTCTTGTGTTGTGCATCACCATACCAAAACTTTCAGACATGGCGGGAGGGGTTTGTGCAAGAAGAGAGAACTTGAGACAGTGCACCCTATATAGCGAAGCAAACTGCCGCGCGTCTAGGGGGCAACCATTTCAGTTCTGAGGGACTTAGGTCTGCAACAGAAGGGGCCTTTGGCAGGGGCTTTTGGCACTTTTCATTAATTGTACAAAGACAGTTCTATACAAATTCTTACAAAAAAGGATGTAAAACGGATTTCGGTTGGACTGTTGGATTTCTGAGGAGTCCAACTAGAGGCCCAAAAACTCACAGCAAAGAATCATTGTCAATTGACCAATTGTCCCGTCTCCAGAATGATATAATCGGCCGAAAAGGTTACAGTCCCTGTAATCATCATGGTTACGTGGATGGCATGGCCCCGTAACGATGACCACTTTCCCAAGACCAAGCAGGTTGTTTTGCACTTCCATGAATATTGCAAGGAATTGTATTTTCAGCACAATCCTGCACTGATGTTCCATTTCCCCCAGCGTTCTTGGGCGTAAGGACTGTCTCCTTAATCCGATTCATTCGGGGTGTGTGACGCTCGCTCTGATGGCTCCAAGGAAAACGACGGGGGGCCGGCGAGATTTCCCGAGTGCCCCGCGCCGACGCGAGTTCGGGGAGCCAGTGAGGTGAGCGTAGACAGACTGGCACAAAGGACTGGGTGTCCGCGCCTTTTGTCACCTGTTCTTGTCATTTGAACCTCCCCCTGTGGCCAACGACGATTGGCTTTTGGACGTTCTACCCGCGGGGCCGTCGATGATGTCCTTCCTTCGCTGAGGTCATGAAACGTCGGCTGATTCCAGGAGCGCCGTCGGATTCGTCGGGGTTTTCCGACCGTGGAGATGGACGACGAACGGTTTGTTACCCACCTCAAATGGATGAATGTTGGGACAGAGATTCCTCCAGAATCCGAGAAGAAAACTGGTCGTGTTTTTGAATTGATTCATATTTTATCCACACTGGGATGATTGTAAACATAACATATAACTTCATTTCTGGTGACAGGTGGTGGAGGATCTCTTCCATCAACAGGTTTACAGAACCGTCATTGTTGACCCTGGAAAACCATCGCCGTCCGTTTCAGCACGGCCATCCGTTCTTCTGGACCTGGCTCGCTGCGTGGCACAGTGACAGGGATTGTGGCCTCGCCATCTGGGTTACCAGAGATGGGTGGGGAGACCCTGGGTGCGTTTCTCAAAGAGATTGTATCCCTCTTCCAACATGTCGTTTAATTAGTCAATTGGTCAATGGCTGACAGAAATTGAAGCCATCCTTCATCGGGGTTCACAGGTGGTCATCAAGGAAGAGAGCCGCGGCGATGACGACATTTCCAGATTTGGTACCACAAGTCATAGCAAGGGTCCACTTAGTACCACGAAGCCTTGAGGGTGGGTGAATTCAAGAGAATGCAATTGTTCAATCAGCATGCAGACTTGTTCCCACACATTTCCAATCTGCGGCTGGTGGACAAACATCCAGCGCGACTGATGTGTCACGAAGATCCCTGCGTCAATGAAGTTGTGTGGCGCTGACAACGGAGGGAACCCGGGGGTCCTTTCACATGGAGGAGCCCTTGCGGCAGCCCTGACTTTGGCGGTGCCCTGGTTTTGGCATCGCTGCGGGGGCTTTGGTGGGAGTGCTTTGCTTCTCTATCCAACTCAGATCTCCTCGGATGGCACAGGTCTGTTCGAGAGGCGAATCTTGGGTATTGAAGCCAAAGCTGGCGTCCGGGCGGTGCCGATCGAGCAATTCGTGGACAACCGAACGAGTCTTCTTCCAGCCATTGCGACCCTAGTTTCGGTATTTTCAGTATATCCATTGTGAGCTCAACAAATACACGTCAAGTTCATGGCACCCGTGTTCTTTTGCTCTGGACGCTTTTTTGACCCCAAGAGACAAGAAGGGACAAGCGCCTTGGTCAAGAGTTCCGCAAACAACTCCAAGAGCGAAGGACACGGCCCCTTTTTGGGTTCTTCGTTTCGCTTCATTTCTGGCGACATGAATGGCTGTTTCCAACCGCGCCGTTCGTCCAACGTCTCAACTCCGTCTGGTCCTTCGGGTCCTTTGCTCTTCAACTTGGATGTGCGTTTCACAGTTGGGATAGGTGAGATATGGTATGAACAGGTCGATGGCGGCATTCCCCACCACGAAAAGGTGGTCGGTCCTGCGAAGTCCGCGCGAAGTCTTGGCCCCCCGTCGGTTGGGTCCGGGCTGGGTGCGCGCTCCTGTTAGACCAGCAGGTCGGAAACGACGATCGCTGTTTGATTCTAATCCGTAGCTTTGGATTCATACTTTCAAGAGTAGATGGCCTCGTCATCCGAGCTCATCGAAACCTCCAAAGTGGCAAGGGTCATGTAGTGCCATTGGGCACTGAAATCACTGCAGCAAAACAGCTCCGTGCTCGGATGACTTGCCATGAACCATCCGAAAAACAGTTGCGATCTATGTGCAAGTGGTGCTTGGATTCCTCCCCATGGAAATGGGTGACAGGATCAATCGATGACGATCGCCCCACTGGTGTGATGACTTTCCATTCTATCCTCACCGTGCTGGAGGCTGGGGGGTGCCTCCCGAAGACCGCTCTGGCCTGTTCTTCAAAAGGCCTCCTAAATGAAAGCCAGTGGTTCTCTTCAAAGGAAGAAGAGAAGACTCCAAGAAGCCAAGCAGTTTTTGTCCAAAAATAGCACCGCGACACCGCGCATTGGAGGTCTTGTTTTCTTGGGTTCGGTACCCACCCACTTTTTCCTGCCAAACCGAGGTGCCCAGCTTCCTCTTCGTGACCTCGCCGCCCTCCTTTCCGGTTTGGGGCGCTCACCAGGGCTTGGGACAACATCGTTGGACGGGGATCGCACCGTCGGAGGGGCGGTGGCATTGGTGGAGCTTGGGAGGTTTTTCAAACCACACGTTCCACCAATGCCACGCACAGAGTTGACTTAACAGCCAATGCTTTGAAGTGTCATTTTTGTTGGGAGGTTTTTCGAGTTGACTTAACAGCCAATCGAGACTGGGTCTGGGTCGGTACCGAGAGAGACACCCAATGAGTCCTATACCACTCAGTTCTTCTTTTCTTTTTTTGTCTCTCTCTCTCTCTCAGACAGCAAGAGGGGGTCATTGTTGAGTAACCTTGGCAACAGCGGTGTTTCAGCTCTGTCCCATGATGTCCCAAGAGCCATACCGCCCGGGCAAACCGGTTTGGCCCCCCCCCGCGACCTTCGCTTGGACGGGCCATATGACTGAGTGAAGGAGTCCCAAAGGTTCGGATGTTTCTCAACAAATCGTTTGGTCACTGTCCAGTGCCTCCATACAGATCTACAGAACCTCATGTCACCTGAAGCCAAACGGACACTGTTCATCGCAACTCCATCCGGGTCGGCTCCCAGCGGACCTGACCCCATCAGTGGATTCAATGCCTTCAACTGGAACAGAGCCATTGAGCTGCACCCCTAGGCTGTTGAAACTGTGTCCCTCCACTGCTGCACACTGCCCGCTGCCGTTTGACTCGAATGATTGGATGGGCACTAGCTGCTCTTTAAGTATGTCCAATGCAGGAACCAGTGGTTAAAGTCAAAGCTTTGGATGGGCACAGCCACATTTTCCAATGTTTACACGTTCTTTTGCCCTTCCATCAATGTTCAGTTGAACACTGTTGTGTTTGGTGAGTTGGAGAGTACTTCGAAGATTCCAGGATGCCTTCTCAGATTGCATGTTGCGATCTTGCTGACAGTGTAGTGGTGCACCTTTAGCACTTCTTGTCGACAATCCTCTCGCAAGGGCACCAACTATATAGTCTGCCCGTTTTCTGATTGAGTCCATCAATGATGCAGCTTTGACAAAAGATATAGCTACACCCCCACGGCAACATGTGCTGTCCGGACTCTTGCTCGGTTCTTCTAGAAATCGGACATGCTCGGGCACTTTTCTGACCAGCGTGCCAAGTGGCATCGACTTTCGTTTTTGGGAACTACTGGTAGAGCCGCTTGGAATCCTATTGGCCCCGTTGTTCCAAATGAAGACTTAATTGCGCTGGAGAATGAGCACCGAGATTCCAGAAGTGCCCAGCTGTAGCAATCGTTCGATGAAAGCTCCAAGCCTCAAACCGACAGATGTGGGTCCGGTTTGACCTCTTCTTACCGAACCCCTTCTTTATGGAGTTGTTAGACCCAGCCCAGCGGAAGCAGGCCAGTGGACCAGTGGTCCCTTGATCGGTGTAGGGTTGGCCTGTCTTGCTGCTCCAGTGATCCTACGTCGCCATGGACGCCACTCGAGCGTTGCTGGACTCGCTCATGGGGAAGGACGACGGATGATGGCCGGCCGACAGACCAGTAAGACTATTTGCGGGACGAGACACTGGGAGGTTCTCACCGATCTCACCGTTTTAGGGATGAACTACCAACAAAGGTTGAAGAACCCGAACCAGGCTATGTCAGTTCGGTACCCCAGTAGGGTCCTATAAGGTCACTTGACCTCTCTTGGTAGGTTCAATTCTCATCAGCCTTGAGAACTGGCCAGGAGGTTGCATTGGCGATGTCATGACACGGGAGAAAGACAGGATAGCTAGGCGCCGAACAAATGCACGTCGCTTTCCCCTTCCAAAAAAGGCTCCCCCAAAAAGGAAGAAAGAACCCCAAAGAAAGACCCAGCCCCATAGGTCTCCCAGTGTGATCCGGGTGAAATTCAGGTCGGACCCCAAAAGAACCTCTCTTTGGGACTTCGCCGCCGGTGTTCCTCTTGTTCCTCTCCGCTCCGCGGTCTCGAGACGGAGACGGCGTGCGCCTGACGGCGTGGCGCCGCCAGGACCGGAACGCGGCGCCGGACTCCAAGCGGCAGAGCTTCAAGGCAACGACGGCGTGGGACGCGGTGGGACGGTGGAAGATGGGGGGCATGAGCTGCCGGGGATGCGACCTGATCGAAGCTGGACTTAGCAGGACAATTGCGCTACCCCTGCAGGACACTCTTTTTTTTATGTGGTTTGAAACGGCCTGGCTTCGAGGTGATGGGTTCATTTCCCGTACTTCTTTGTTCAGAACAATCAACCCCGTCTGGTGCGCTACTTCAGGCAATTCCAGGACTTGGTTCGTGGTTTGAATTCCTTTGGATTTCGTAAACATCCGGTCAGAATGGACTCTTGGGGGGCTTCAAGACGGGTTGAGCTCGCCCTCCGATTCCCTGGGACCTGCCTGGTCGATGACGGGTCCCCTCCGACCGGACAGGGCACCTGGTCGCTCTCGGGACGTGGACGGGAGAACAAGCCGGCCATTCTCTCGATCAGAGGACCCGGACGTGTGCAAGTACCACCTGGTTGGAGACTGCCCTCATGAGATGTGGGTCAATCAGGCGACCGGTGCCATCGGACGAGCGTTCCGAGCGGGTAGGGCGTTCGCGGGTCCGCGGGTGGGCGAGCGGGTCCGCGGGCGCTGCTCATCTCAACCACTGCCAGGGCAGGCTGCCCGACACGACCGACCACTGGTAGGGGCCAGCCCTGCAAGACTTGTGTTGGACACCGGATCGAGGAAAAGGGTGATCCTGGAATCCTTGTCTGTTGACGAAGGAGGAATTGGGAGGCCAACCTACAAGATTGAAGATTTCAGTCCATAAGTCATATCAAAAGTCATATTATCAATTTGGATGATATTCTAAACCCCCACAGGCCTGAAGAGGTTTCAAAATCCATGTCTGGGGAGGTGTTATTCAAGAGTCTAGAGGAACGCCAGTAACTGAAGCGACATGCGAAAGTTTCCAGGCTGCTGCTCCGACACCAAAAGGCCAAACACACGTCGCTTCGCGAAGTCGCCCGCCCAACCCGCTGCAGGGGGGCAAGGCATCGCCGAACAGCCCGGTGGGGCCATGCAAGAAGCAGCACTCGGAGGCGCGTCGGGCGCGGTGGTGAAGGACGGATGGTTGAAAGGTGTGATGCGGGCGACCGTGATGGTGGACATGGGTCGTGTTTCCCACCTGGAGTGCTTAGCTAACGACCGACCGACAAACAGGGGGGGTGATGCCCTTCTTTGGGAGGTCTGGTGGTGCGAGTTGCCCACAGCCATATTTCTTTCACAGCCAGTTGTTCTTTTGAATCCCCTGTCGCCTTGGTGCCAAATTCGGAGGACTACCTGTCATGGTTTGGTCGATGTTGCATGGTTCAGTTCTACCCAGGCGCTCAGCCCAACAGGTCCCTCAAAACCTAGGGATTTGAGACCCCGAAGAACAGTGAGACTCCGAATAATAGACTCTTTATCATACATTTCTGAACGTTTTTATTTAATCGATCTTATTTCTTAAAGACCCCTCCATACGAGGGTCCGGTCCCTCCAATGAAGAACCCCGCAAAATTCCGGGTGCACGTATGAGAGGTGCAGCGACCTGAATCACCTATGGGTCCTTATGGTCTGGTCGAATTCGGCTTCTTTAGAAACAAGAAGCTTCTAGGAACAAGTGCATCGCTTCTAGTAACAAGCGCCTTACTAGTAACAAGAAGCCATTAGAAACAATAAGCGTTGGCAAGAGATTCTGATCAACGGCCATGCGGGCTGGCCGTCCCGCCATGGGTCGTCAGGCCATGCGCGAGCGCCTGAAAGACGACAAGGACTATGCCGGGAGGCCACAGAGGCGGTTTCTGGGGCCTTTTTCCTTGGGAAGAGATCAGAAACCTGAGAAACTGAGATTCTTCTTCACCAACAAAGCAAGTGGCTTGGTGCAGGGGTTCTCTTCATGTTTCTTCAGGTGGTGCAGGAGGTTGTGCTTCAACCAGAGTTCCAGGATGCAGAACTTCACAGATCAGGAGTTGGCTGTGCAAGAGTAGCGACTGAAGAAGTTTCCGCTCGGATGGCCCGACCCGACGCAGCTCTGACCCCGCTGGCGCCAAGGTCAAATACCGCTGGCGCTACCTGGAAGACTTGAGTGTCTTGGCGGGACTGGGGCACGATGAAAAGTCTCAGGCTGCAGCCTCCCAAAACGGCAACAGTATGCCTTCTGGTGCTTGGCATTGCAATCTGAAGTCTTTTGTAAAACAATGGTTGTTTGGCCATAAACTTAAAAACCCCTAAGAATCAATGGTTTCTCTTCATCCCGGGACATGATCGTTCAGGTCGGTACGTGTTGGACGGTGCAGACGGGGAACCGGACGGAGAACTCGAGGGGCTCGTTGGCCACCGAGACCACCGAGACGGGCAACCGGTGGATCGCGCAGCCGAAATCGGATGTGCTGAAGGTTGAGTATCGGTCACTCCGTGTAGAAGCGAAACACAAAAACATATATATACCTGGAGCCTGAGTGACCTGTATTTTGGAGGATCAACTGTCCAATATATGGGCAAACTTCCTATCAAAACAGAGGTCAGTCAGGCTCTAGGTATATCAGACCGTCATAGAAGAAAGATTTGTTGCTGGACTGCAGAATTTGGCCCACATGGCCTCTTCCCTCAAAGCAATCAAAAACCGTCTATCCAACCAACTATCGAAGAGTGTTGGAAGAACTATTCTTCACCAGTAACAAGAAGCTATTAGGGGCTTCTGGCATCGCTACTCGGAGCAAGGACGCTACTAGGGGCATTGTCGGACAGTCGCGGATCCACCTTTCTGACCATCTGCCGTTCCTTGTTTCCCGTAGCTCGCTTGTCGGAACCCCGGTGGCCTTCTGGACTCGCCGGTTGACTCGCAACCCCGGGCCTGAGGGGTTTTCTTGCAAAAGCTGGTAGATGACAACAACAAGAAGGCTCAGAAAGTGTGCCTCGGCCCTGGATTTTTGGGTCCTCTTCGAAATCGAAGAGAAACACAATGGGTCGGGAAGGGGGAGACCTGGATCACGAGGGCAGTGGTCTAGAGTCTAGAGGTTTGTTGAAGTGGGATGATCTGGGTCACAGTCTTTCATGAGGAAGAGTTACTTCTTGATTGCATCGTTTTTTGTTGATTTTGAGCCTGGTCCAGTTCGAAGGTCTCGATGGATTGGTTTGTTTACAGGATGGTAAGTGGACAGATTGTAGGTGTGATACCTCAACAAAGAACCTGAAACAATTGCTTTGTCCAGCACACTGTCTCTGACCCTGCTGATGGGCACTGCCCAAGCAGCATGATCTTGTGGGTTCTCCATTCCTCTGCGAGTCTTGGATGGAACATCTGTACCCAAATCTCCCGAGCTGTCCAAGTGACACCATGTGGAGAGAGGGGCAGAGCCCAGGAACCTGATCGCCCACTCTCGTTCCCATGGCCGATCGCCCTTTAGGAGAGAGAAGCTGAATGAAGGAGTGACCTGCACGGCTGACACTCACAAAGCGGTGGAAGGCGACGTGACTCCGTGGGCGAAGGAGTCGGCGACGGAGTCGGCGAAGGAGTCGTCTTTCGAGGTGTCAGATGGTGAGGGAAAGCTGTGCACCTCGGCTGTTCGACCAGTTCCTAGGTCCAATCGGTGGGAACTACCCTCCCCCCGAAACAGACTCAGTCCCTGTCACAAACCTGTCGGAGGGTTGTGGAAGATTCGAGCCCTGATTAGATCCCGTTTGCCGGGTGGGACGAACATGATCTGGTCGTTTCCCCAAACCATCGATCTGGTCGTCATCATCATGCAAAGAACCTGGGTTTCAGTGGATGAACACCTCCATGTTTCACGATCTTGGAGGCCCATAGTGGGGGGGGACCATGCAGGCCCTCCACTTGGCATCTGGTGATCCAGGCCATTTAGCGGCTCGAGAGACTTTGGCGAATGAGAAGTTGCAGGCGGCAGAGAAGATGGCCGAGGCCGGGGCGATGTTGAAAACGGGTGCCATGGGAAGAGGCGTTTTTTTCGGCATGAAGATGGCCAGAAATGAAGGGAGCCACCAAGCGCTTTTCGCGAGAACTACTTCAGCCGACGCAGGGTGATGGAAGTGTGGCCAGTGTTGCAATCAAGGATTTTCTATGCATTTCTATGCTACAAGGGCATTACTACTAGTAGCTCCTAGCATCGCTACCTTAGTATCAACCACTAGTACAGTGAGTCAGAAGACCCTTGTTTCCTTCGTCTAGATAAACACCCAACGCAGGACACTGCGACAGGCCAGCTCGCCCACTGAGCGAAGTCCGTGGAACATCACCAGCTCGTACATTCCTTCAGGTAGGACCCGCCCAAGATGCTTGCTTGCCTGCCTGCCTGCCTGCTTGCTTGCTTGCTTGCCTGCCTGCCTGCCTGCCTGCTTGCGTGCTTGCTTGCCTGCCTGCCTGCCTGCCTGCCTGCTTGCTTGCGTGCTTGCTTGCTTGCCTGCCTGCCTGCTTGCTTGCTTGCGTGCTTGCTTGCTTGCCTGCCTGCCTGCCTGCCTGCCTGCTTGCTTGCGTGCTTGCTTGCTTGCCTGCCTGCCTGCCTGCCTGCTTGCGTGCTTGCTTGCCTGCCTGCCTGCCTGCCTGCTTGC